CCGAGGTGTTTCAATGGGAGGAGTGATGCCAGCAGTGAGTTGGGGTGGGGCAGCCAGGTGAGGCCACACCTGCCCAGGGCTGGCAGCAGGGGCAGTGCCAGGCACCAGGGACTGTCACCTGTGGGCCAGGAGCCAGGGCAGGTGAGCCAGGGCAGCTCTGCTCTCACACAGAGCAGCACACAGGGCAGCACACCTGAGCTGCACACCTGAGCTGCACCCACAGAGCAGCACACACAGCAGCACACCTGAGCAGCACACCTGAGCTGCACACACAGGGCAGCACACCTGAGCAGCACACAGAGCTCTCCAAGGCCCAGGAGCTGCCAGATTCCCTCCCCTCACTGCCTGCTCCCAGCTCTGCTGTGCTCTGTGTCCTACAGGAGGTTTTCAGCTGTTCTGGTTAATCCTCAAACTCTCCCTGTCTGCACCAAGCCCTGGCTGGGACTGGGACTGTCAATTCTCATTCCTGCATTTTTCTATTAAATTTACCGTCCTGTTTCTCTGCTTTACCTCATATAACATTTGAGCTTTTCTTTCCCAGCGTTCTTTTAACAGCACTATTGATTCAAATGGATGCAATAAATCGTTTTCAAGGAACATGTTCCTGTTTAAGATCAAATCAGAATACTCAGCCAAGTTAATTGTCTTAAAAGGTGTGCTGAGGATCAGTGGAGAAAAGTTTCTTTATTGGATCAGATTCTGATCACAGATTTAATAAGACTTGCATGGTATGAGACAGGACAAATCTGGCCTTTAATATTCACAGTTCTCCAATAAACCTTAGCAATTAGTTTTTAAATAGCAGTAGCAATATGCACACTATTCCTTACTGTGAGAGCTTCAAACATTTAGCATAGGATGGTTTTCCTATAAAAATAACTTTTAAACTTTGATTGACAAAGACATTAATAAAATACTAAAAATACCTTCCTGTAGAGAACATAAATGTTATTTATCCCAAGCCATCCTGTGTCCAAACCACACCAAGTCCATGAGCTTCAGAGTTAGACATCTTCCATATATATTCCTAATTTATAGACAGAGTACATTGGATTGCTGGGATGACAGGGATGCAAGATGAGCCTGATACAGAAAAAAGACCAGAAGAGAGCCTGTCCTGCCTCCAACAAAATAATGACACCAGGCAGCACCACTGCAGCCATGCAGCAAACACTTCTGCCAGGCAAAGGGAGAGAAACAATTCCCAAAGCATCCTGCTAGCAAACCATTCAGAGCTCAGAGAATGATGTTCTGGGCAACAAATGCAACCTGTAAAATGCTCTGCAAACTCCCCAAGTAATGCAGAACGCCAGGACAGCTCCTCCTTCTCCCTCTGACAGTCCCCAAGGAAAGGCTCCTAAACAGCCAACAGGGCTGTGCCACAGACCCTGCTCTGTGCCAATGTGCCACTGTCATATTTTCTGAAAAATCCGCTCACCAGGATTTCTTCTCCTGAGAAGCCTCAGAGAAACAGGAAACCAATATCATCTCATTCGCTTCTCCTGTGT